TCAAAATTTCATCTCGGGTCATTCTTCGGCTACCATCCAGCGACGGAGGAGCCATAGACTCTTTCTTAACCTTCTCAACCTTTTGCGCAGGCTCCTTAACTTCCTTCTCTTTTTCTTCAAGAACCATGTCAAACTCTTCATCGATATCCCGAACGACCTTCTCCTGCGGTTGTTCAGACACCCCATTTTCGGACGAGCTAGGAGGAGGCGCATTGATATCTTCCCCAGCCTTAACCCTCCGCAATAGTTTCCAATCCAGTCCTTTGATCAAATGTGTACTTTCCACATCGCCTCCAACCCCAATCTCCTCTCTAAGTTTCTCGAACGTAGGCTGGTCGACCTGGCCAAGTTTAACCATATCCTCCAACGCTCGAACCCTGTTCTCCCGGTCATCATCTCCCCGATCGTCACTACCATATCCTTCGACATTCCCTTCTTCATACTGACCCGCCCGCCGCAGAAGTGTTCTGTCCTGGTATCCCTCGGCCAACTTGGTACCCTTGGGAGCAGCTGAGGATCTGAATTTCTTCGCAGGGGGTGGTTGCGATACACGGCGATGGTCGGCTGATTGACTAGCAAAATCTACGCCGATGACTGAGCGACTGCGTGAGCAAACAAGAAAGCAAGAAGAGTTAGCTCTAAAATGTTCCAGAAACAAACTTGACAGCAGCTCTTGAAGCGTGGGAGTAAGGGAATACGTACGGAGTCATAGGAATTTTCGGTCGCATATTAGAACCCAAAGCTGCAGGCTTCGAACGCGCTGCATCCCCGCCAACAGGTGACGGTTTGTTGGCAAGTGTAGAGTCATGGCCCGTTTTTTTTGATTGGTCTTCGAAAAGCAAGCGTCGAAATTGCTCGTTGTTCATGGTTTCCGTAATGGATGAGGCAGCCACTTTGAGAAGTGATTTTGTATCTCTATATCTGTTTGAAATATATTCCAGTGAACCACGTCATTTTTTTTTTTTTTTTTTTTTGTTTTGCTGAAAAAGCAGAAGAGCAAAGTTCAGTTTATCACTCAATGTACAGATCTGTACCTAAACTGTACTCCGTAGTTAAGTGATAGCTAACTAGCGTTTCAGATGAGACTTTTTGGCCACCATGATTATATAATCAGCACTCCCGCTCGTCGACTATTGTTGGGGGGATTGGATTGGGTGATTCGTACCCTCTATCACCACGGCGCTGGTGGTGATTTGAGCTCTTTTGCCCTAGTGGCCTAATAAGTATTTCAAGCCTGGTGACTGCTTACTCACTCTCTCTAGTGAGTGCGCCACAGTGTACGGAAAACCACACTGTATGGAAAATATTATCAATATCTTCATTCTTCATCTTCAAATAATCATCATTAATTATAACCATGTTTAAATCTTCTAATTACACTGAGGAGTAGTTGTAAAAAGCTGTTGATGCATACAAAAGCAATTTAAAATTAAAAATCACATCTCTGTCATGAAAATTCAAAGTCCCATATATCACTTTGTATGAGAGGATCAACAGGAAGAAATCAAAGATTATGAAAGTTTCACTGAATAAAGCATTGAATAACAGTCAGAAGAAGGCAATTAAAATATAAATTCATCAATTGAATATTAATTTTTACCTGCTCATCATTGAGCATATTGAAGCTACTGTAAATTGTATGTTGAAATAATATTGTAAGGCGAAGCCGTACGAAGAAGCTCTTGGGCATGCTATTCTTGTTCTTCATCCTCGTAACTCTAAGATATGCTGTGCAAGCGGAAACAAGCAGGAGGTGAAGCCCTGTGCGTAGTCATGTGACTACGCGTATGATGGAGCGAAGGCGTGGCACTGCGTGTGGCAGGGCGTAGCAAATATTATATAAATTCAGAGACTGCACTTTCTACAGTAAATAAAATATAAATATATCAATTCATTAAACATCTATCAGATTATAAACAAATCAAGTAAAAGTTTATAAATTCAAAACAGATATTTTATAAAAATATAAACTTTATTATCAATTGATTTGATTGATATAAAATTATTTTTAATCAATATCATTTTTTTCACTGTGATATCTACAACTTTAATGAGATTGAATTTCAAGAAGAAAAACAATATGAATAATGAATTATAATTATCTTTAAAAATATAAATTCTGTCATACAATCATCATACTCCCATGGGTTAATAACAGTGATGAAGTGTGTCAATGCAAATGATACAATATTGAATTCATTGATTATAATGAAATTAAAAATTTATTTAAAAAATTTATATATATATTTCAATTTATTTAACAATTATATCATCATTGCATTTGAATCTGACTTTACAAATGATGAGATTGAATTTGAATAAATTAAATGATTTAATAAAATGATAAAAAAATGTTAAATGCGCAGTTATTAATTGTTATTAATGAATAATTATGATTTTCATCTTATAAAAGAATTTATTTAATACTGTAATTTTTATAAAATTATTTTATTTAAATTCTCATCTCATATAAATCATATTTTACAATTTTTTGATGATGTGCTTTTTTGACAGTATAAGCATTATCATACAAAGACAGTTAATGAGACTATTTGTTATGAATATGAGCAGTATGATGATAGACAATTTTTTGTTAATTTGAAGAGTGTTTGATTGAAAGCATTTAAATCTGATATTGTGAGAGCTGGCTTTGCTGATTGTGAAATGTATTCAATTAATTATGATATAATTTTCAATTGATTGAAATTTCTTATCATCGACCCTGATCGCATCTTAATATATATGATGACGATGATAATATATG